CTAGTGCTATTCAGTTAGTATTATTCCAAAACTTATTCACCCAAAAGTTTGGGAAATCTTAATGCTAAAATCGTGAAGAAGAAATGGTCGAAAAAGTAAGACACTAGCGTAGCGTTTTCGAGAAATTTAAACTCCTTGATATCTAGGTAATGTTGTTGGGCGGTCCTAACTCAGTCATCAAAAGTTCCTGAAAAGTCTTAACATGGAATTGTTAATTACCAACCAAAAGAAACACTGCAATACGGGGTAGGACTTGGAAATTGAGAATATCATAATTTCACTTTTCGTCTACCGAAGGAACGCTCGATCGGCCGTTTCTTGCCGAGAGAAGATCTGACTCGTTCTCATCTATCTAGACACTAAGTGCTCAGTGGCTTGTTTTATGTCATGCCGTTCCATTTGTAAATTAATTATGTTGGAATTACGTTTAACTGTCAATAGCCTATTTTTGAGTAGATATGTGAACCATATATCATAAATTTACCTAATTTTTAATATTTTTACTTTCTTTTCTCTAGCTGGTTGACTGACCGGACTGAAAGACAGACAGAGAGACAGACAGANTGTGCAAAGCTGCCCATTTATCGCGTCAAGAAGAGCACAACTCGACGTTAGTGTTATACCTCATACTGTTATTATAATCAAAAGTGTGCCGCTTATATAGGATACTTAAAAAAGAAAATTTCTAGTGCTATTCAGTTAGTATTATTCCAAAACTTATTCACCCAAAAGTTTGGGAAATCTTGATGCTAAAATCGTGAAGAAGAAATGGTCGAAAGAGTAAGACACTAACGTAACGTTTTCCACAAATTTAAACTCCTTGATATCTAGGTTATTCAAGATCACTCAGTTTTTGTCCGGCTCCAGAAGGCATTATAACTTTAATATGAGTAGCATTCGAGCTGACTCCTAACCTGTTCGTTAATGTTGTTGGGCAGTCCTAATTCAGTCATCAAAAGTTCCTGAAAAGTCTTAACATGGAATTGTTAAGTACCAACCAAAAGAAACACTCCAATAGGGTAGGACTTGGAAATTGAGCTTATCATAATTTCACTTTTCGTCTACCGAAGGAACGCTAGACCGTCGGCCGTTTCTTGCCGAGAGAAGATCTGACTGTTTCTCATCTATCTAGACACTAAGTGCTCAGTGGCTTCTTTTATGTCATGCCGTTCCATTTGCAAATTAATTATGTTGGAATTACGCTTAACTGTCAATAGCCTATTTTTGAGTAGATATGTGAACCATACATCATAAATTTACCTAATTTTTAATATTTTTACTTTCTTTTCTCTTGCTGGCTGACTGACCGGACTGACTGACAGACAGACAGACAGACGGACAGACAGACTGACAGAGAGACAGACTGACTGACTGGCTGACTGACTGACTAACTATATGACTTACTGAATCACTCATTCACTCACTCACTCACTCACTGACTCACTGACTCACTGACTCACTGACTCACTGACTCACTGACTCACTGACTCACTGACTCACTGACTCACTGACTCACTGACTCACTCACTTACCCACTGACTATCTGGATGATTGTCTGACAGTCTATCTGACTGACTGACTGACTCTAAATAACTGGCTGGCTGACGGACCGATTGGCTTACTGAGTGGCTTATTTACTTACTTTGCAGGTGTAAAGCGTTGGCCTTGCCATTATTATTGCTACCGCGATTGTCATTATCACCACTGGTACCCCTGGGGGTGGACACATGGTTGCCACTGGAGATGTGTGTGGCATCCCTGCTACTGAAAACCGCAAGGAGATGCTGCAAGGCCCGTCGGGTGATAGGGATAAATAAAAATATCCAGATGCTAGTGACTATCATATTTTGCTGCTTTGATTAACAACTTTTGATTTGGAAGAGCTGATTTAAAAGTGAAAGAACTTCTAAAAGTACATTGCATGCGGCATTGAGACCTGTAGACTATATAGTTTATACCGTGAAACGGCGAAAGAAAGTCTGCTCTTTTAGACTGCCAAATCTTTGCAACAATTTCAGACGAGATCGATTGGCTAAGATGCTATTGATTTGTCGAAACAGGGCTCCTGGTAGAAAAAAATGATTCAGGATAAAAAAGCTTGGTTAAATTTCGCAGAAAAGTGTGAGACTGTGTAGGAAAGTAGTTCAATAATGCTATTGCAAAATGTATAAGTGCGAATTAAACAACAATTAATTCAAGAAATGAAACAAATAAAAGTCACTTGTGCTCTTAACTGAGAAACGTGTGCTTTCTGACTAAAAATATATTTCTGTCTGATTTGTGAGTGTGAGTGAGTGAGTGAGTGAGTGAGAACTTTATTAAAGTGTCAAAAAAACCTTATAGCCTGGGAATAAAAACACCATACTAATTAGGGGACACTGCTAAAAAAACTATACTAATACTAATATTAATACTATAAAAAAATAAATGACTTGAAGGGCATTATGTGCAGCATAGGATGCAGCCCTTACAGCCGGTGTCCATTAAGCTAGTTATATCCCTTTTGCGAATATAGTTTGTAAAAGCCTGCAGTGTCTTGGCTGATCTGTCAGCCATAGACAGTTTGCCCCATAATTTGGGTCCTACATAACACAAAGAGTGCTTCCCATAAGTAACAGTGTTGTATCTAGGAGTAGAAAAATCTGATTGTCTCAGGTTGTATGCAGAAATATGCTCGTTAAAAATGTTACAGATGCTGATTTGAGCATTTGCATCTATCAAGGGTATAAGTTTTGTTCTTCGGTGCAATCCAAAAAATTCCCGCGCTTTTGAGAGTTATAGACTTTAATTTCCGCGTATTTTTTAGTAAGGTCTAACCTGAGTGTTTGAGAACAGAAGGCAATTTGCGTCTAGTATATTTACTGCTTCAATCCGTGAATAATTTCTGTTAAAGTTTCCGAGTTAAACAATCTTTTTTGGTTAGTCTAAGTGACGTAACTCTGAAACGGTGAAGAACTTCGCCGAATTAAACGTGAAACGAAAATCATGATAAATATCCGTACTGAGAGAAGTAGTGCGCTCGTCTCCGGATGGAACCCTGACCGGGGGCATTGTGTTGTGTACGTTCTTGGGCAAGACACTTCACTCTCACATTGCCTCTCTCCACCCAGGTGTATACATGGGTACCGGCGAATTTAATGCTGGGAGTAACTCTGCAATGGACTAGCATCCCACCCAAGGGGGACTAGAAATACTCCTAGTCGCTTTATGCTACAGAAACCGGGATAAGCTCCGGCCTGATGGGCTCGTCTGCAGACTTGAACTTTACCTTACTGAGAAAAGAGGAAACACTGATGCCAAACCTCTCGCAGTCTGTTTACAAATTAACAGTCGAGAAGCCGTTTCCGGAAAATAACACCGAATTCCAATTCTTGCGCGCCGCGGCTTTTTCCCTGTCACTAAGGTCAGGTTTTAGCGATCTACTGCATAACTCTAACAAAGGGCCGGTATAAGCAATAGAGACGGCGGAGTAACACAGTTTAAGAAATTTATGAAAAATGAACATTTTCTTTGAAATAAGGGATAAAATGCCACAGAATTATGATCACTGACTATTTTGTGATTCAAGTAAAAACTATTAAATGGTCTGAAATGAATGTCAAAGACACATCTACTTTAGAAAACTACAATACATTTTTTCAAAAAACATAAAATTTAAGCTAACGTCGCTGAAAGGGAAAGTTTCTGTAATGAATTTACCTTTTTTTAATCAAAAAATATGTTGCTCTCTCTCTTGAGTCTGTAGTTTGAGAGGAAGATTTTTTAAAAGTTCACAGCGAAAAAAAATATATATACCCTTCCACGGTTTTTTTAATTTTCAATATGGGCCAAAAATGCGTAACGAACGCAATCTATTGACACGGCTGGAAAGAACGTCTGAGAGTAGTGCATTGAAAAATCGCAAGTTAACTATGAAGCCTCGCAAAGTCGAGTTCTGCGGTTTTTATCCGTAAAAGGGTTCGGTGTAATTTCAGTCTACTCGTCTTTATTAGCTTCCGAAGCCCTAAACATGTCTCTTTCAGCCTTGAATCCGTTAAAAAAACGTACGGCGTATGTATTTTTTCTANAAGCTAACGTCGCTGAAAGGGAAAGTTTCTGTAATGAATTTACCTTTTTTTAATCAAAAAATATGTTGCTCTCTCTCTTGAGTCTGTAGTTTGAGAGGAAGATTTTTTTAAAGTTCAAAGCGAAAAAAATATATATATATATCCTTCCACGGTTTTTTTAATTTTGAATATGGGCCAAAAATGCGTAACGAACGCAATCTATTGACACGGCTGGAGAGAACGCCTGAGAGTAGTGCATTGAAAAATCGCAAATTAACTATAAAGCCTTGCGAAGTCGAGTTCTGTGGTTTTTATCCGTAAAAGGGTTTGATGTAATTTCAGTCTACTCGTCTTTATTAGCTTCCGTAGCCCTAAACTTATCTCTCTCAGTCTTTAATCCGTTAAAAAAAACGTACGGCGTATGTGTTTTTTCTAGCCTGTCATTTCTCAGAAATGCCGACTGAATAGGCCCGGAAAAACACTTCTCCTCTCAAGGAGAAGTGTTTATGCTCGACACTTGTGCTCTTAAAAGAGCACAAGTATCGAGCATGCAAGTGACCACTTTATTTATTTTATCTCTCCTTCACTGTTTAAGATGCACCACATCATGATTCACTTCACATCATGATTCACATCACAGCACTGTTATACTATGCAATACAACTACTACCAAAGTACTCGTCTTACTCGTCTTGAGAATGGATGCAACAACCAACTTTTTTTTATACCATTTGACGGCTGTCAAATATTTCCTTATTTTCAACTTGATACTGATGATGTGTATGGTATTTTACACTTCAGCCGACCTCGTGTTATAGTATAAGCACTTGATCAACTGCGCATGCCAGTATTAACACTTGCTTTACTACGCATGCCCGAAAACCATCATTCAATAGCGGTTTTCCGTACCCATCCTATGCTGAACCTCAAAAAGTTGTTTAAGACAGCAAAATTTGACATCAGTTTTTAATTTTTAAAGGATTGCACGGATACCGGCAAAGGCTATACGTTTATTGCTTTAAAAGACTCACACTAAGCCAGTCAGATTTCTTGCAGCGCGGGCCAGTTCAAATTATAGAAAATTAGAATCTTTTAATTTTAGAATACACCATACATTGCCTCAAGACCTATAATCAGCACTTCCTTTAGTCGTAGTAGTATTGCGCATGTGTTTCAATTATTTACGACAGATTACATCACTAACCGTCCAAAAATCAGATGATGATTAATGCCATTTTTGGCATATTGGTTGTAAATATATGTCGTGGTTTTAAGGGAAGCTCGTTGGGCAAATGTAGCCTCCCCTAAATGGATTTGGAAAAAGAGAGAAAAAACTCGCAAGCTTCACGCCTACCACTATTTCCTGCAACGCGCAAAAATACAAAGATGAGCGAAATCGGAATCCTGAATCCGAGAATTTGATTTGATTTTTTCAGCTTCTATTGTAACTATCTTCTATTGGTATTAGTAATAGCAATTCTCTTAATGCGCATGTCAGACAAAAAAATGATGGTTTCTGACGAGCACAAGAGATTGATTGATTCTCTTGACAGCAAAATTGACTTAGATTTTGAATTTAAGAAACGTACAGAAATTTTGGTGAAGGCTATACCTTTTGGTGTGTCTATCTACCAGAAATAACTTACAGCGCGTATTTCAGTTTGTCTAAATACACCCAGCGTGACTTGTAAATCTATATTCAGCACTTCCTTCAGCCATCACCGTATTGCGCATATGCTGAAACTATTTATGACAGATTCGAAAAGTTTCCATAGTAACAAACATATATAGTCAATTAAGCGTCAGTAATTGCTAGGTTCAGAGGCGCAACTTTCGGTGGGAAGGGTGGGAGGGGGCCGGGCTCGCTAAATCTTTTCAATTTCACATTTCAATAAAGTACATTATTCACAATAAATATGGAGAAGAAACCGATAAATCTTGTTGAAAGGAATTTATGTCATGACGATACGGAAGTACATGATAATGTCTCTNTTGTTTACATCAGCATAACCCTACACTGGATATCGTAATTAATATATGCAGAATTTGGAGTTTAAAAAATGAGCAACAATAAAAGTATTTTTGAGGGAGTTTGAAAGTACAATGAAGGGTTTACAAAGCGAGTGATTTTCGAAAATTCTCTCAAATTGTACGAGCAGTTTCAATCAAAGAATTTTGCAAATAACGCGAGTAGGAAAAAAAAATAGCAACTGCTTGCGCTTTCATGCGCTTTCTCGTTTCACTAAGAACATGTATGCCCGTATTCCTTAGATTTGCACTGCAGTGCCAGGAACCATTATCCAATTATCTTTTGCTAGGCGACTGAAATTAACGAAGCATGCTAATCTGCTTTTCCAAAAAGTATATCCACCTTGTGTANATAACGCAAAGAGTGCTTCCCATAAGTAACAGTGTTGTATCTAGGAGTAGAAAAATCTGATTGTCTCAGGTTGTATGCAGAAATATGCTCGTTAAAAACTTTACAGATGCTATTAGGACATTTCCAGATCTATTAGATGCTATTAGTCTATGTTGAACTTTATACATGAGAATACAGATGTCTTGTAAACGCCTGTTCGCTAGAGTTGGCAACTTGGCTCTCTCCAGTATCTGAGTATAGCTAGCATGCTTGTCCTTGTAAACGGCCCTCAAGCCCCTTTCCTGTAGTCGTTCAAGTTTACGTGCATCGGTAGCTCTGCAGAAGTGCCACACTAGGTGACAATAAGTAAGGTAAGGTAGTGATTAAATCATGCAGAATTTAGAGTTTAAAAAATGAGCAACAATAAAGTATTTTTGAAGGAGTTTGAAAGTGCAATGAAGGGTTTACAAAGCGAGTGATATTCGAAAATTCTCTCAAATTGTACGAACAGTTTCAATCAAAGAATTTTGCAAATAACACGAGTAGGAAAAAAAAATTAGCAACTGCTTGCCCTTTCACGCGCTTTCTCATTTCACTAAGAACATGTACGCCCGTGTTCCTTAGATTTGCATTGCAGTGCTAGGAACCATTATCCAATTATCTTTTGCTAGGCGACTGAAATTAACGAAGCATGCTAATCTGCTTTTCCAAAAAGTATATCCACCTTGTGTAAATTTTGCACACAAACTACAGTTCTGTTAAGAAACACTCCTTATGTACATATACATAAAAAACGTGTTAAACTTGACATTCCACTGAAACTGAAAGTAGCCAAAGGCCGTTCGGGCAACCTGGTGTCACTTATTTTAGAGTGCGAAGAAATCCACTGCTGCACCAAAAAAGTGTAACCCGCGTGCAATGCTA